GCGATGTTGACTCATGCATACGTACTCGAACAAATCGTCGTCGTTGACACGATACTTGGAAATGCGTTTCTCGTGAGCACTGCTATCGTAGCTCCGCTTGGACATGGGTCACAGCCGATATTGAGAGTTCTGAAACGGCGCGGCCGACCAAGTTTGAACAAAGGAGTCAGATTCCGATAGATTGGCAAGCGGTAATGTGATTTTTGGTGAAAGAAGGACAGAGATATCTACAAGTTGATAAAAGCTGTCCACCGAATGATTGTATCATAGGCCACATTGGCCCTGGGCAAGCACCGACAAACACACATCATGCACTTACCTGGACCCGCAGCGGACACCACTTGAGCGCAACTGCGCATATATATGTAGATTAACAGATGTGACGCAAACCCCATCTAATGAGTATGAATACCATCTACAATTCGTCATGTCCTGGCTGTCTATCCGAGTCCCCAGGTGCCTGCGTTGGTTCAGTAGATGATGATCCATCGGCGTCACCAGGCTTCGCGGGCGTCTTTTTGACTTTGGGTACCTTTCTCCTCACCAATCTTTGCAGGTGCTGCTCCAACGTCTTCGCTCGCTGCTGCATGTCCTTAGTTTCTATCGCCGGGTCTTCATTCATCTTTGTCCTCTTTTGTCGCTCAACGCCATCATGAAGCCAACTTTCATGCTCCTTGAGTGCTTTCTCGAGCGCATCAAGCTCCTGTGACGTCCACTTCGAAGGAACACCTGCGATGGCGTCTGCCGTGATGTTCTCCCTTGCTTGGGTAAGGAATAATCTAGTACTCCAATTCCACTTTTGTGAGTTATTCAGTGCCTGTGGGAAAGACTCGATCTCCTTGTAGCGGTGTACGATTGGTTTCTCCAGAGTCCTGTCCAGAAATGGTCAGCACTCGAATAGCCTTCCCCAAAAAGGACCCTTACTCGAGAACCGATCGCTTCTCCCATAGCTGCACTGTATCGGCGGTGTCTCTTTCGTCATGTAGCCATGCAATGGTCTCCAAAAGTTTGTTCGAAAGTGTTTGCCTTTCAGATGACTGAGAGCATTTCATGAATGGCGTTTCTGGACCATCATCCAAGAGATCCCGTAGTTTATACAGGTATCCTTCGAGAGTATTATGCGCTTCTTCCCGAAGTTGCCTTGACATCTCCATGTTGTCTAATGCCCTGAGACTGTCGCAGCATGACTCCGATCAGTCTTATGAACGCAGACAATGCAGACGTACCGTTCACGTGCAGCCCGTTTCGCTACAAGACTCAGTGGGCCCTGGGAATTGTACACAATTTCGACCTCAAGTGGAATAGTATTTTGGTCCTTCCCAAGCGGCTTCTTAGCTTTATCTTTCTTATCCTTCTCGATCTTCTCGTCCTTTGGGGCTCCTTCATCAACATCAGTCTCTAATGGTACCTGGTCACCCCCACCTCCAAATAGGCCTTTCAGTTTCCCTATTCGAGCTTTATAATTAAGAACAGGAAAAAGCGGAAATACGTACCAGTGATGGAATCGTCTTTAATCTCGCCATAGGCTATGGCGTCTCCGACAGACACAAAGCCGGATTCGGAAAGCACGACAGTAGCCTTGATCACCGGATCGAGTGCCCCACGTTCAGTAAGATTATCAATGGCCTTGGGGATGCCAACAATCTTTGCCTCGAGGATCTCGCGGGGGAAACCACTAGAAATAAAGTTAATAAAATATGAACATTTGTGTCTACGGAACACGCACGACATGACTTCATCGGGGTAGTTCAGTATCACAGAAAAATCTTCTTTACGCTTGAACGTTAGAGTCTTTCTTGCACCATGCCTCGACCCAGCAGGTAAGACTGTCGTGTGAATCGTTCGCGCGCCTGGATTAGATGCGAGGTACGACGCCTGGATGTCATGTATTAAGACATCAGTTACACGAATGTCCTTGGTCTTGAATTGACGAGAGAGGGAAGCTCCATAAAGCGCTGCGCCAAGCACGGCGGATTCATCAGCATTGACATTGAGTGCAATGCGATCTCTAATAAACATGTAAACTCCAATGGTCCAAAAATGAAAAGATATGTAATGCTTACTCGCCAACAGCTGCTTTTACAGCGGTCTGGACCATGGGCGTGCGTGAATTTCCGCCTGTTAAGATAACGGATGAGATATTTGTCTGTAAGTGTGTCAGACAATATTTGCAGGACAACCCACGGGCATGCATACCAATGAAAGCTCAGCATTCGCAAGTGCATCATAGATGGGTCTTGCAAAGCGCGAATGAAGGTCTTTACAGGCGTCCTCAAATTCCGAGCGAGTAACCTTGGTCTTGAAGTCAATGTCAAATGCAACACTCTCCACCTGAAGACTGTGAGCATCGAAACCACATACTATGTTTAGCAAGCTTGCTTACTGTCGACGTCGCGTCTGAGTTGGCACTGAGGATAGCCTTGACGCGTCCAGCCTCCTTCCAAAGTTTAGCCATAGCGCGCCTATCCTTTCGTATATCCCGGCGGTGCTTTGACATAAAACTGTCTATCAGAATATCCCGCAACCTCAGATCTAGCTCTGTCCCGCCCGTATTTCGATCATACCCGACACCCAGAACGTTGATCTGCGTGTATGATGCCTTCGTCTTGGGATCCTCGGCCGCAGCGAACGAAACCACGGTGGCACGTGTCGAAGATGCGCCGGCGTCGTAAATGACATGGTATTCGGGAGTGGTCGAAAAAGTCCTCGTCATAGCGTAGTTGACTGCTACAGCCGTGCCGTCGTTGACCAATGCTAGTGTTCTCAATCCTGCAATTTCTATTGCATCTGCAATCGAGTCGCGTTCGAGCTGGGAGAAGTATGGTGGAACGGTGAGGATAACCTCGTGTACCGACTCGCCTGCTAAATCCTCAGCAAGCTTCTTGATATATGATAGCTGCATCGCGACGAGCTCCTCCGTACTCCATTCCGTGCCGTCACTTTGTTTCAGTGCAACGGTTTTGCGGTCGGTCTCAGAAATCTGAGCGGTAGATATGGAGGTGAAATAGGTGACGATATCAGAGTTGAATGGTGCGCCTTGTAGGTATTTTAGGGATGAGAATGAGTCTTGAGGGAAACGGGACGCCTGTGTTCTGTCAGACCAAGGGCAGAATGTTGTGGGGAACGGTACTCACGATGTTCGCCGCGTCAGACCCAAATAATCTTTCGTCTTTCTTCCATGCTACTGAGGACTGTATCTTTCGCTTGGAGTCCTTGTTCAGTAGCACGTCAAAGGGCACACCAGGCTTCATGAGCGAAGCCTTGATCCAGTCCGACCCATAGTCAACTGCTAGTATGGATGCTAATGAACTCTCAAAAATAGCGGCAAAGAGAACAAAGAACGTAACCGCCTTTCTAAGCGAAATACAAGGCATGACGAGGATTCAGAAGCAAAACCAGGTAAAGAGCATCGAGCGACTGAGGACTATGAATTTTGTTTCTCGAAGGTATAATGAGCCACGCTAGCAGTATTACTAAGTATGTCTACCAACTAGTAGGTTCCACGTATGTAATTAGATAGAACCGGCAAGCGCCGAAACACTGAGCCTGGATTAATTGGCATTATACGCACTAGCGAGAATTAGTGCTCAGTAGAGTTAGGAGACAATACTATATCGATTGTCGTTATATCAATCCTCGCTACTATGGACACTCGGTACCGTTTTCATTCTATCTACCTACAAATACCATTTGTTCCCGCACCTCGCAACCTTCCTCAGTTGACTTCGCATGTCCACTGAGGTTAGTACTACCTTCGTACATAGTTCCTATTTAGCTGACACTGTCTGTAGCTACTGCTGCAACAGGTACATATCAATATACATTAGTTGACTTCGCACATCCACTGAGCTACTGCTGCAACAGGTTATGAGCCCTGCGCACCTATAGTGAAAATTTCAAATTAAGCGCGCAAAGAAAAGACTCAAAAAGAAATGTCTACCTCGAACGGAAAACTCAGAGAGGATTTTCTCCATATCCCAAAGCTCGCCGCAGACAGCGAGAATTGGATGATGTACAACTTGTACAAGGAACATTTGCAATGGTCCATCAACGCTTGCAGGCTGCTCAGCCATTTGGATGGCACTGAGACTAAGCCGATTGATCCCCAGGGACTACCTGGCAGAGGAGCGTCATGGACACTGGGAACCCCTGACGAAATAAAAGAGGTTAGCATGTACAAAACCGAGCTGAAGGAGTGGCACACGGGCCAGGCCATAACGAAACAGCAGATAGTGGGGACAATCCCCGACTCGCTGTTTATTCAAATCAAAAATTTAGACACGGTGAAGGAAATATTCATGCACCTCTCGAGCCTGTTTGAGCAGCGCTCATGTGTGGTGTCCATGGAGCTATTGTGAAAACTCCAGGACCAGAAGTGTGCTGAAAAAGGAAACATCAGAGAGCACTTTGACAAAATGCGAATGATCAAAGAACAACTGTCCTTGTTGGGACATGCACCTTCCGACGAAAGCTTCGTGGCTATGATTATGAGCTCACTACCAGCATCCTACGACCCACATCTATCTGCACTGATGGCATCAGCCAAGGTCTCGAGCATGAAGCTCACTGCTGATACGTTGATATCGACAATTGTCAACAAATATGACCGCCGAGCCTTGAAGTCGAAGAAGGCAGGATCCTCGAGTGATGACACTGCCTACAACATGAACGCAGGTCAGCGCACTCAGAGGATAAAAGGAAACTGCCATAATTGCAGCAAATACGGACATATGCAAAGAGATTGTCGTGCTCCTGGAGGTGGAGGAGCTGCTGGGAGCAAAGGCAAAGAAAAATCAGACACTAAGGGCAAAGACAAATGCACTGAAACAGCAGCAAGCGCAAAGGACAAGTCGAAAGATGATGAACCTGAAGGGGTATGGTTAATGCATGAAACAAACACATCAGATGAACAAACATCGTTCACTTACGCGACATTGACCGATTCGAGCAAAAACGATCATACTCGAATTGAACTGTTTGATTCCAGTGCTTTGCACCATATGTCATCGTACCGAGAGCTGTTTCACGATTTCGTCAGCATCAGCCCAAATCCTATTACAACTGTGGACAAACATACCTTCGAAGCGATCAGTAAAGGCAATATAATGATCCAACTGCCAAATGGAGAGTCAAACACTCGAATACTTCTGAAGGATGTTCTTTACGCACCAAAGATGGGCGTAACCCTCGCATCTATCAGCTGGCTCACCACAGCAGGATACGCTGCGCTGTTTCGTGAAAACTCTTGCAAGATTTTCAATGACAAAAAGAGATTGCTGGGTGAAATAGCGGTCAATAAAGGACTATACTGTATCAAAGGGCCAAAAGGGAGCTTCGCAGGAGTGGCAGGTGTGAAAGAGACACTGACCATGTGGGAAATTCACACGCGTCTAGGCCACATGGCACCAAGCAGCATTGCACAAATGATCCGTGATGGTGCTGTAGAGATACAACAATTGGTGGGCACTACACGAAATAAGTAACCAGCAATATAAAAATGTGTTGTGGTTGTGCACAGCCTAGTCTGCTTATACTTGCAAGACAAGTGCGTTCGACCCGAGGGGTTTGCTGTATGGTATTAGAATAATCAGTTAAAACAAAAGGAAGATAGTCCGAAGTGCGGGAAACAAAGTCTGAAGGTATAATTATGAGTCCGATGTCAAAAATGTCGGGTCTGATGTTTTTGGGTTTCGGGTCAGCGTCGGGTTTGCGTCGGGAATATAGCGAATGTCGGGGATAGTGAATGGCGGGTTACTGTCAGATGTTTCAGATAAAGAAAGGATGATATTGTGGAATCCAACTAAGAACTACAAATATCGGATGACCTCCTCCTACTCGGAGGTAGAAAGGTAAAGTAAATAGGTAGGAGGTATGCGAAATATATAGTGTCTATGTAGAAATTTGGAGTGCTATAGGCGAATGTAGTAGTGCTGATTTTTGGGTCCGATGTCCTATGTAATAACGCATTCTACAATGTTAGCGATGTGAAAATGAACAACTGCGCACCTAGTGGGGATAGATACAACAGGACAAGACATAGGGAGGACAAGTGCGCGGGAAAATATCGGGTCCGATGCGTGGGAAACGTCGGGTCCGTCGGATTAGTGTCGGGTTTAGTGGGTTAGCATCGGGTTTAGTGGATAAACATCAGATTTGAGCGGATGAGTGTCAGATAACATTGGAAGTGATTCATGTATTTGACATGCATGGGAAAATAGCTGAATACGAGCCTAGCGTGAGCTTGAGTGCTACAGCACGATCACTGGAATAGATCTTGATGCGGCCGAAAAGATAATGGACACTTGCAAGTCCTGCGAGTACACAAAAGCCACTCGAAAGCCCATTGGTAAAGTTTGCGACCCTGTGTATCGTGAAAGCTTCGGTGACAAAGTCCATATGGACTTATGGGGGCCCTCTCCAGTAAGAACTCCTGGCCACAAAGAATATTTCGCGTCATTTACTGATGACCACACACGATTCACTCACCTATATCTCCTGCAGACCAAAGACAAGACATTTGACACGTACAAGAAGTATGAAGCATGGGCAAACACGCAGTTCGACATGAAGATAAAGTGTTTGCATTCAGACTGCAGTGGAGAATTCACTAGTGAGGAGTTCACACGTCACCTAAGTAGCAAAGGGACAGAACGCAAACTCACCATGCACGACATGCCCAAGCACAATGGAGTCGCTGAGCGCTTGAATCATACCATCGTCAAAAGGGCTCATGCATTGTTGCACGCCAGTGGACTGCCCAAGTACCTGTGGGGAGAAGCCGCCATGCACGCAATGTGGTTGAAAAACCGAACTGTCACACACGCATTGAATAACAAAATGCCATATGAAGCATTATTCAATAAAAGGCCCAACTTAGAGAACTTACCTATCTGGGGGAGCCGTGTCAAAGTGCACACGACAGATGACTCCAAACTGGACATGCACGCAATAGAAGGCCGGTGGGTGGGTTATGACCCGCAGAGTAACGGGCATCGAGTATATCTACCCGAAACACGGCGGGTGGTGGTTGAACGTAGCGTCAGATTCGACACTGCAGAGGTCCGCATACCTCTAGAAAGACCTGAAGAAGGGGGACACCACATGGTACAAACCGATGATGTTGGTTCAACAACCCTGCCAACAGTCAGCCACACAGTACGAATCAATGATGTCGGTTCAAAACTCACTGGTCCATCATCACCTCCAACGACCAACCCTCCTCCTACTGACCACCTAGGCTCCCAATTTGAGGGCAATGTGCAGCCGTGCCGTTCTGCAAGAGTAAGAGTAGAGTCAGTGTACATCAAAAGCCTGCGCGACGGCGCAGGCACTACAGACGGTCGAAGCAGCAATGTACCTCGCGGGATGCAGCAAGTCCCTGAAGAGTCCAATCTAGCAGTTGAGCTCGGGATGCTGGGGGAGGATGGAGAGGTTGACGAGGACAATGAAGAAGTCTTTGCCATGATGGCAGGAGTCGCCGAGGTTGAGAGTACAGACCCGACAATGCTGGAACAAGCTCGTGTGAGAACTGACTGGCCGAAATGGGATGATGCAGTGAACAAGGAACTCACCATGCTCAAAGACGCAAACATGTGGTCGATCATAGAGAAGCCGGTGGGAGCAAATATTGTTGGGTGCAAATGGGTCTTCCGCATTAAGAGAAACGTGGACGGAGAAATAGATAAGTACAAGGCCTGGCTAGTAGCCAAGGGGTACTCACAAGTCTATGGTGTCGATTATTACGACACATACACACCCGTCGCACAGCTCACATCACTCTGAACAATCACGGCAATTGCCACACGCAACGACTGGGATATTGATGTGTTTGATTTCCATAGCGCGTTTCTCAACGGAAAACTAGACACTGTAGATTTACAACTCAGAGTGGTTCTATAGGCTCCAAACTGATATCTTTATGTTGTAGATTGTGCACTGCCTATCTGCTATACTTGTGGGACAAGTGCATTTGACCCTAAAGGGGAAGCTAGTGCAGCAAAGGTCTAGAAATGGATGCAGAAGGTGCTGCTTGTCGGCCGATGCGAAGCGCGGAAATGTAGCGGCGGCCAAAGGCGTGGGAAAGATGCGGCTGCGAAGCGGCCGATGCGTGAGGGTTTCGGATGATAATAGAGATGAAGGACAATAGAAATAGATGTAGAGTGAGGTGATAACAGATACAATATGAGTGGTAAATGGATACTGATTGCCAATAGCTACCAACTGTAGGCTAATGGGAGTTGCTACTGGAATGTCCGGAAAACAAGCTACTGAATGATATGTACTGCTAGTGCTTAAGTATAGCGCTAAGCGCTGTCAAACGGAACCGAGCTGATGTGCTACTGAGTTAGGTATGTAAAGCTATATGTAAATAAGGGTCTATGATGAAATAAAGGTGGTGTGATGCGAAAATGGTCTGATATGTAAATATAATCATGAAATAACATACCATTGGGTTGGTTTTGGACTATGGATGGATGCGGAACATCGGCCAATGAAGCGCGAGAAAAGCGGCCACTAAGCGCGGCTGTGCGCGCGCGGGAACATTGCGGCCGTCACGGAAAAGTAGCGGCCGCTAACTGCGACTCGCGGGAAAGCTGCGCTTCATGTAGGAAAGTAATAGGGTGCTGAGGGATACCACAAAAATAGCCTCTACAAGGCTGTAGGGACTTCCAGTCCTACAACGCAAACGAGGTCATCTTCATGTAACTACCACCTGGACTCAACATCAACTCACACTTCAAGCATCCCATCGCATGCCTGCACATCACATTGTATGGATCAAAGCAAGGAGCTTTGAAGTGGTACTTGGAGCTATGCCACTTGATGAGGAGTCTCGGCATGACAAGAGCAGAGTCAGACTGGGGGGTATTTTTTAAGCATATAGGCATGGACATTCTCATTCTTGCTGCTCACATTGACGACTGCACCATCACCAGTAGTAATTCCTCACTTATTGCTGAATTCAAGCAGCAAGTTGCTGCACACTTCAAGCTTACAGACTTAGGTCCAGTTGCATCCTTACTCAGCATGAAGGTGATGCTTGACCGAGTTGCGCACACCATCTCCTTTTCACATGAATCCTATGTTGACGCCATACTCATGAAGTACAACTTTGTAGATATGAAGCTGAGTTTTATTCCCATGGATCCTAATCTCCCACTCTCCCACTCACAATCCCCAAAAACACCAGCTGAGGCTGCACAAATAAAAAATGTACCCTATTGTGAGGCCGTTGGGTTGCTTATGCACCTCACAGTAGGTACATGCCCTGACATCGCATTCGCGGTCTCCACAGTCACCCAGTTCGGTGCCAACCCCAGCATGCAACACTGGGAGGCCGTCAAGAAAATTTATCGTTATCTCATTGGCACGAAGAAACTTGTGCTTACCTTCGGCAGCTGCAAGCAAGGGCTGGAGGGATTTACCGATGCCGATGGTGCATCGCAGGAGCATAGACATGCAGTGTCCGGCTATGCGTTCCTGCTAGATGGCGAAGCAGTATCTTGGGGATTGAAGAAGCAAGAGCTTGTGACTCTTTTGACGACAGAGGCAGAATATGTTGCAGTGATGCACACTGCCAAAGAAGCCATTTGGCTTCGACGTTTCATTAGTGAAATCTTCTGTCCGCTTACCCAACCTACCATCCTTCATTGCAACAATCAGTCCGCAATTGCACTTGCTCAGTCCAGGGTGTTTCACGCCTGGACTAAGCATATTGATATCTGGTATCATTTTATTAGATTTTCTGTTGACAAAGGCTCAATTTCTTTAGTTTATTGCCCTACGGACAATATAGTCACAGACACACTTACGAAACCCCTCCCTAGCTTAAAGGTCAAACATTTTGCCTCTGCCCTCGGCCTGTGCTCGGCTTGAGGGGGAGTGTTGTTATATCAATCCTTGCTACTATGGACACTCAGTACCGTTTTCATTTCTATCTACCTACAAATACCATTTGTTCCCACGCCTCGCAACATTCCTCAGTTGACTTCGCACATCCACTGAGGTTAGTACTACCTTCGTACATAGTTCCTATTTAGCTGACACTGTCTGTAGCTACTGCTGCAACAGGTACATATCAATATACATTAGTTGACTTCGCACGTCCACTGAGCTACTGCTGCAACATTGATAGAGTACCTAGCGAGAACGAGTGCTAGAATACATCAGTAAGTGTACATGTGAGATATGAGAGAGTACTACACACCTCAGTAGAGTTAGGATTCTGGACACAATTCCTGCTACCATTAGGGAGTGGGTTATGTCGCAAATTTCCGAAATCGATTGTAATCAGGAACCGTTGGTATCACGTTACAATTGGATTACAATGACGCTATCAACCTTCATGTAATCATTATAGCGGAGTTTCAATCGATTACAATGCGGTTACAACGTTATGGATATCCTACAGCTCGCCTTCGACCACATTCTCAACAGTTTCCCTCCCTTGCCCATACTTATATATTACCCGTCTATCCAGGACATGGCCCCCGAACGCACAAAATTCTGCGATCTGTGCAAACAAGACCTCAAACCACGTGGGTGGTCCACTCATCGCAAGGCCTGTGAGAAGAAGGCCGAGAAACAGCGTCAGAATCAGCTTGTTGCGGAATCCATTCGAAGGGAAGATTTAGAGGCAGAAGCAGGTATGTCCAAGTTCAATTCATTTGTCTATCAGTCTAAGTTTTTGTATTTAAACTGACTCATAGGCCCTTCAAATTTAACGAGACATCAATCATCACGCGCAAGTGTCAACGATTCAGAGTGTGCCAATGAATTTATGGGAAACGAGATGGATGATGGCATGGGGTATATTGACGGTAAGTCAGAATCTTAATTACATTCGTTATGTATTATAATTCATGACTCACTGTTCACAGATCACTTTGCTGATGCCGATGTCTCTGAACGTGCAAGCACTCCCAGATTCCGGGTTGACGACATTAGGTGTGAGTATCATCCAAGCAGTGGGATCCCACCTGAGGTCCACGCTTTTGAGGACTTCAAACGGCGTCCAACCCCACTGGCATCTATCCCGCCTAACCAGCACCCCTGGGCGCCATTCAAGTCGCGACTAGAGTTTGAACTTGCTGAACTTGCCCTGGAGGCTTGTTTGAACAACGAGCAGACTGATCAGCTCATACGACTTTGCAACCGGTGCACTTCCCGACAGGAGAAGTTCACATTCCGGACCCACAAGGACATTCACGACAGGTGGGAGACTGCTTCCCATCGCCTTACGGGGGTTATTTCTTTCTTTCTCTGATCTTTAGCTTCTGACGACTCTCAAGTTTAGTTTACTCAAGACATGATTTCAGTACCGTATGACGGTACCATACGAGAGTTTGATCTACACTATCGCAATCTCTGGGAGTGGGCTACTGATCTCCTTCGTGATCCTCAGCTCTTTCCGCACATGGTATTTGATGCGCAGCGCTTCTCAAAGTTTGATGGCGAGACATTTGTAAACTTTGTAGATGAACCTTACACGGCTGAAGCTTTTTGGAATGTTCAAGTATGTAATACTGCTGTAGTGATTTCTTGTATTCATGAATTGATCTATTCTTTTGCCTCATAGTCTCAGCTACCAGAGGGCGCCAAACCTCTGGCGTTTATTCTGTATGCGGACAAGACGAAGTTGTCCTCATTTGGTACCGCAAGAGGTTACCCCGTTGTTGCACGCCTTGCGAACCTTCCCACCGACATTCGCAATGGTCAAGGTATGGGTGGCGGCTACGTTGTTGGGTGGCTTCCTATTGTATGGAGTATTTCATTAGTTAGCGGTTAGCACTGATCGTAGTTCTAGGTGAAGGAGGAGAAGGATCACGCTGGCAAGCCAAGCTGGGTCAATTTCAAGAACACTGTTTGGCACGAGGCGTTCTTGAAGATTCTCTCTCCGCTAGCATCAAAATCTAGTACAGGTCAATGGTTTGAATGTCTCGACAGCATCCAACGCTGGTTCTTTCCTTCGATATTAATCTTGTCAGCCGATTACGAGGAACAGTCAGTGCGTTCGTTTATCTGTACATATGAATAATTGACTACTTGTCAATGTATTAGATGTGTTATGTCGCTCACTCGAGGGATCAAGTCCCTGTGGCCATGCCCAGTTTGTCTCGTTCCCCATGACGACCTTTTGGATACTTTGAAGGCCTATCCTCGTCGAACATCCGATCAGTCACAGAACGTCTTGCAGGTTGCGCGGGGCAAGCAGACCGCTGAAGAGAGAGATGATATGCTCAAACAATATGGACTTCGTGATGTCCAGGTAAGATTCTGTTATCTATAGTACCAGCGGTGTTGTATTACTAACCCAACCATGTTAGAACGCTTTTTGGATCGTTGCGCTTACTTGTGTACATTATGCACTCTCGTGGGATAGGCTCCATTTCAATGGTGGCCTGTACCGCGATCATTTGTGGGCCGAACTGCAGAGAATAATCATTAGTCTTGGGAGAGCAAGTGTAGCGCAGATGGACCACAAGTAAGTCTATAGCTTGCAATTTAGGACTTTTTTGATTTCGTGTTACTAGCTACGAGGCGTTTCCACGGTGGTGCAATCTCAAACATCTATCGCAAGTCATGAGCATTTCCTTTGCGGATAGTAGCGTGTATGAAGACATTTCGAAGGTATGTTTTCGTAGGTTCTTATTGATGAGTCGAGTCTGATGGTTGTTCTCTTAGATGGTGATCTATGCTGCACATACCATTGTGACTGAGGACGAGTGTCCAATCGGCTACCTCTTACTTCGTTGTATTCGACTCTTTCTTGAAGTTGATTTATATGCAGCACTCGAGGTTCACACAGCTGATACTATCCGTGCAGGCCGACACGCAGTTCAAGCGTTCTCAACCTATCTCCAGGTGTGTTTTTTTGACTTCCCTCGAAATTGTTCGTCAATGAATCTTATTATAATAGCAATATATAACTAAAACAGCCGACACGAGCGACAAGAACTGGAACTTCCCCAAATTGCACATGAGTGTGCATATCTTTGACAACATCGAAGCTAAAGGAGCTACACGTAACTACAACACGAAGCCAAACGAGAAGATGCACGGGTCGCTGAAAGATTCGTATCAAATGCGCACCAACTTCAGGAATGTGGCGCCGCAGGTAACAGATTTTATTCTCAATATCATTGACTTGTTGATCTTAGACTACTGCTACAATATTTACAGATTCTTCGCATCAATCATTGGCAAGTGGTCGCCGAGAGCATTTGCCGGAACATATCCGACTTCGATGAGTATCAGTCACACGATGTCGACAATGTGCTGGACGAAGACAATTCCGTGGTGGATGATTTGGTCGTCTCGAACGACTCGCCTCATCTAAAGCTTGGATCCAGACAAGCTCCACAGACTTTTGAATCTGTCGAGAACACTCACAGACATGACAGCGCATTTACTAACTTTCGTATCAGGCTCAATGATTTCTTAACTAACTTTTTACCAGCCATTCAAGTCCCTCTACCAGGCGGAAAGCGGGTCCAGCTCAAAGCAAATGGCAAGGTACGATGATCATTGTCCAGTTTGGCTGCGTTCTGTTATACTGACGTGAAGGGATAGATTACCGGGTGCCGTTTCTTAAAGGTTAACTATGAGTCATTGGTAGATTGGCGCCAACATACCGATTTCCTTCGTTGTAATCCCAAGTTCTTTGGTACTCCGCGCTTCGACTGTGTGTTCGTCCAGACAACCGACAAGATCATCTTTGGTCGCCTGCTCTTTGTTTTTGAATGTACACTGGAAGATACAGCCCTCTCCCTTGCCCTTATTCACCCATTTGATGCTCCCACTGGTGTTCGCATCCGAAAAGACAAGCATCTCTCCATCTTTCGTGTGCGAGCAAGACCCCGGGCGCAGGCTGAATTTTTTTCAGTAAGGTCGATCATCCGCGGAGCTTTCCTAGTGCCGGATGGTAGCAATGATTACATTGTTGTCGATACTGTTGACACCGACATGTTCCTTCGTGTGAAGGCGCTGCATCTTGAGGCAGGGCACCTTGTACGTGTTTGATGCCACACATAGTCTTCCTCCCCTTACAGATGGTATGCCTGCTTACTAGTATCTTCACTCGTTGGTCTCACTGACTGTCTGCTTTTGCCTCTCGTGAATACCAGGCAATGTCATCACCGCCTCTAGACATACATTCCGCATACTCTGCCTCATGATATACCTCATTTTCCTCGGCACCGACTTCACTCTGTTCAATGCATCAACGCCTTCAAGACTTTCTCGCCATTCATGATCAAGCTCTCTTCCAAGAACCCCCAAGATCACCTAGCACTCATCAGCGCTGGAATCAACAACTCAATCATGGCCCAACCCCATCTTAATCACCAGCTATCTCCATCACCATACGCGTCCTCCCAACTCCATCTCTGTCACTGACCATCTCCTAGACGCATCCTCCCAACCCCATCTCAGTCGCCACTAGACACGTCCTCCCAATTCCATGTCACCGGCCATCACCATCACTAGATGCATCCTCCCAACCCCATCTTAGTCGCCACCAGATCGTCCCTGGGGGATCCTGAACTACCTTGAGGGTCAAAGGTCGCGAAGCGTCCATCCTGGGGGATCCTGAACTACCTCGAGGGTCGAAGGTCGTGAAGCGTCCATCCTGGGGGATTCCTAACTACCTCAAGGGTCTGAATCAGCAATCAGACTATCAGCCGGTTTGTGACGAGCCCTTTTGATGCACGTGTATTAAGGTTCACTCTTTAAAGTTTCATCTTGCGAGGGCACCCTCTAGTCGTGCGCTCGTTTACGTGCCTCACATCAGTTTGCCGCTATCAATCACAATGCCGAGCCACCATAGTCATTCCCAAAGACGTAAGAAGATGTGGGTAGGCAACGTGTCGAATTGTATATAAGGTGCATCACACCATTTCTTCCTTCGCTGTCTTGCCACTGAACATCTTGTAGGACAATGTCTCATCTCTCAGTGCACATATCGGACAGCAACTCCGATGATGACTTCGATGAGGGCAACATCGAGCAAATCTCCATCCCAGGGCCCAACGCCTCCAAGGGAGATTTCATGGATGTACGTACTAGCTACAACTTATTATCTTAACTATATTCAACTTGATATCGTGCTCCAGGCAGTCAAAGCATTGCAGCTCGAAGTTCAGCGTCTGTGCGAAGAAAATCGTGCTCTCAAGGAGAAGAACAAAGTTCTACTTGCCGAGAAGCCCAAACGGAAGCGGCGCGTTGAAGCACCTGATGAACTCGTTGCTCACGAACAGACCATCTCACTGTATGCTCGTAAATACGGCATGACAGTGGAGATGTTTCCGGACAATGAACTTCTCACCAAGAAGCTGCCGGATTTGCCTACACCATTCGATAGCCATGACCGTTACAAGACTGCTGCAACTCAGGAAACGGCCTTCTTAGACGAACTTTACAAGCATTTCCCAGAACGCGTCCATCGAGCCATACAGAGTGTGTACTTCAAAGACCTCGTACGTCACATATTTTGTTTTGTTCTAACTATCATCTGATGTATTCTTTAACTATGGTAGGTACATAAGTGCATCAGCGATGCTCGTTCAAACGAGATCAAAAAATTACGTGGCGTTGCTGGAGATATTTTTGACCTTCCTGCGAAGTACTTTGCCAATCCTAGTTTCGACAGAGCCGGCGTTGTTGAAATTCAAAAGATGCTTGGAGTGTCTGGCAAGACGCAGGCTTATAAAATCTTTCCGCCTCTTTTGTTCCCAGGTCTGCAAGAAGACACCACCCTCAAGACTGTTTTCGGCAACTGGATACTTTTCGCCAAGGTGCGCTATCATTCACTGCTCGTATATTTGTATCATGTATGCTACTTACTATGACAATGGTCTATCTACTAGATTCTGAGAGCATCACTGCATGGCGTCACCTCGCTTCATCAAGAGCCTTGTGGCGGATCAAAGACTAATGCTCGGAAGTGGAACTTTCAACAAGTCACTCCAGGATCTATCGCATGGGCGGCAGTTATCGTACGTCGTGTATATTGCATCAAATATATCTACTGATGTTTGAACGCAGGCAATATTTCTGCTCTCACCCGACTCCGAATTTCCCGGTTCGGGAGTGGGGAAATCATCGACCATCAGTTACAAAGACCTGTTCTTTCAATATAAGAAGATGCTCATTACAAAGTGGGACACCAGGCGCATCAAGAATATTATGGTCAGTATCAACAATCACATTTTTGGCACCGCAAAGTTGTCCACCCTCAATCCCGCTGGTGGCGAAGACTTTTCGGATGAAATCAATCGCGCTATGCTCGCACTCGACATGTCATCAGACAGTGAAGCAGATGAGGTTCCACCAGCATCAGTAGCGCTACATGAAGGTCCAGGCCCAGGTCTCAATGCAGGTCTCGTCAACCGACCTGCAGAAGAAGCATCTGAATCAGCATCTCGAGCTGCTGCTCATACTAATGTTGAAGCAGACGAAGCTGATGTAGATGAAGCTGATGGTCAGATAATAGGCAGGGGCCGAGGGAAGGGAAAGACTAGGGGGAAAAGGGCAGTAGCAACTCATAGCAATATTCGTCGTGGTCGTTCTCAAAAAGTCTCATAGAAATTGTTACAGTTAGTGATCCACCGTCTAGTGTAGTGCATTGCATTTGAATTTGAACGCAAAAATGTCGTTACAATCGAGTTCAATCGACAATGCTTACATAACAACAAGATTACAAAATTTTTCAGAGACTTTAATTCTACAGCAACCACATTACAACTGTTCTGATACTCAACACCGCTACAGCAGCTCTCACCACCATCCGCTATTAGTAGATGATAACTTTTCCTTGGACCCTCTGCCTTTAATGAAACCAAGACCCCCGGGATGATCTCATGATTGAAGGTCGCGTCATTCTCCAAGGACGAGGACACGAAGTTAGCGACGAAGACCTCCTGGACCAGCAGCAAAAATTGACTCAACGGTAAGCAGCATATCCATCCTAGAAACAAAGATATTAAACGAAGACCCTGATGATCTCGTAGATGAAGGTCGCGTCGTTCTCCAAGGACGAGGACACGAAGTTAGCGACGAAGACCTCCAGCAGCAAAAATCATCAACTATTATAATAAACCACGGTAAGCAGCATACCCACCCTAGAAACAAAGATATTAAATGAAGACCTTGATGATCTCGTAGATCAAGGTCGTGTCGTTCTCCAAGGACGAGGACACGAAGTTAGCGATGAAGACCTCTGGCAGCAAAAATCGACTAGACAACAGTAAGTCATTCTTACCGCAGCATATCCACCCTAGAAACAAAGATATTAATTGAAGACCCCAATGATCTCATAGATGAAGGTCGCGTCGTTCTCCAAGGACACGAAGATGGCCACTCACTCATACTCAAACAGTTCCGTCTTACCAGAGAGGCATTTGACCGCCGGGTGATCAGTAAGTGGTCCGTTCAATTTCGAGCCAGCTCATCGCTCACATTCCACATGCACATCCATGCCACCATGGCCGCTCGCTCATACTCAAACAGTTCCATCTTACCAGACATCGGCCATCGGGTCATTGCCTGAGTGGAGTTGAAGCCAACGGGAGAGATGTGCGGCTGACTCGCACTCAGTCTAATACTGGTGAATGATTTCATTGATGTGGAATGGGAACCCTACCGCTAACTACAAACTATATCCTCCAGAACCCTACCTTCATCCAACCGCACCCTCCAGCGCTACTCGAACTCAAACCATGTCCTCCCAGCAATCAAAATCCATCGAGTCGGAGTTCCTTTCCCCCCATGTTTCCGCCAAATGAGTTCCAACTATGACAACCACCACCACCGCATCGTCATCCACACCAATGAGATTATCTGTGGAGATGGATATATGGAGGAGCATAGGGATGTATTATGACGGAATGCGCACCCCGCAGATGAGCCACCAGTACCATACCAATATTAAAATATAAATAATGTATTAAAATTGACAAATAAACATTACAATCTGACTTGCAAGCCGCTGTTTGACATTGCAATTGCCTGTTACAACTCCCAGCCAAATAGCTCATTACAATGACTAAGACAGATTGCCACGCATTGTGACAGCGGTTGCCATCTCAATTGCAACCGTCATTCCAATTTGATTACAATTGTGACTCTGCTATTGTAAGCGCTTTCAATTTATGTTTGGTCTTTGAACGTTGAAATGCCATAAAAGGCACTGAAGTTTAAATTAAGAATTTGCGACATATGCAGGTTTTGATTTTCACGTTTTGGTGGTAGATTCGTCCGATTTTGGCGACCCTATTTTTTCCACTTTATATAGTAATGGGCTGTGTTGATCAATCAATCAAAAACCTAGCCTTTTGCTAGTCTTCCCTTGTACTGTGCACTATCTCATGCTTGTCTGCTTGTTGCAACATTGTCTGTTTCTAGCTTCCAAATCATCATGTCATTTGTCAGCTGCTTGCCAGTATCTGTTGTTTTCAACCTCAAATCGTGACATTGTCTTGTCTCTGCTTGCTTGTGTGGGCTCGCTTTTCTCCGAAGTTCTCATGGCCTCTGATGAAGGTCACTCACTCACCACCGACATTGATTTCATGGTCACACACGCTCTCAACTCTGATTAGTAGTTGTTGGGATGAACTGGAATGCTGTGGGGTGCACCATCGGTCAGGAAGATGAGACCCCTGTTCACAATCCTCATTCTCTCTCTGTCTGGCATTTGAGGTGAGAGTGTCTCAGTTTGCTTTTCTTTGGAATTTCTGCGAACTTCATTTTGCTTTTTCTAGACACTTTATGCATATTTCATGATGATGTCAACAATGTTGAAGCTGCGCATGGTGCCTACTTGTGTTCATCCCATTAGTCATCCCTCAGTGGGGCAGTTTCATTGTCTTGCAGACAATCTGCATCCATTGTCTTTAATTTTTTTTGGGTCATGTCAATCTGGGATTTGTATTAGCCTTTTATTGTCTGATGTTGAGCTGCTTAACCAGGCGTGCTCTTTGCATGGCTTGGCACTTGGGCATTCTCATTCAGTTGTTAAGCTACACAGTTTGTTATTGCACATTTTCTCCATGGCAAGTGCTTGGCTTCAGACACACATTCCAAGCACCATGATTATACTGCATATTGTAAGGTTGCAGTAGCTTCATCCGATCTAGCTAACTGCATGTTAGATATGTTGATGAGCACGGACACTTCTGTGATATCGAGCGATAATCTTTGGACTGTTGCACAGAGTATTTGCAGTGATCTAGACTCTGTTTGTCATCAAGAAGACTGTTGTAGGAACTGATTCCTGGCTAGGCTTGTAGAGACTGTTTTACTTAGTGTTATGTTTGCACCTTGGCTTACATAAGAAAGTTACCTTTTCACCAGTACTAGTATGAGTCTGAGTACTCAGCAAGTTTTCATGACATTTCTTCTCCTCTGAGCCTTGAGCCTGGTCCAGAAACCTTTTAGGGTTGAATAGCAGCTAGGTTCTGCAAGACTTAATACATTGTTCTGAATCACCTGTTGGAATTAAGCAAGTGCGCCCGCAGCCAAGGTGCTTCGATATTCGTGTCTTTTGATTGGTTCAACCCAATGAGTCGTATGTTTCTATTTGTCCACTCTTGTTTCTTTTGTTTTGCTATCGTACTTACTAAATCTTTTGTTTGCTCGGGCCAGCGCCCTATTACTATTGTTGCAGTCTCACTACTGTCTCGTTTGTACAAGGACATTCTTTACTATTTCATTCGCACAGATTTCGCACTTGAACCTCAGACGTTTGCATTCACGCACAACGACTGAGGTAAGACCAGTTGTTACTTTATATTTTACCTTTACTTATGTCATGTCAGAGCATCTATTTATTACAGGTAAAATACCAAAGACATTTGCATTCACGCGCAACGACTGAGAGCATCTGTTTATTACAGATCCGCGTGAACTTGTATTAATCTTTCATCACCATCAGAATTGTTGTACCCACACTGTCACAGGAGAACTGTTTGCATTCTCAATATCTTCCACAGTTGGGGTGCATATGAAGCTGTGTCTAAGTCATTGCAATCATTTCTTGGCATGGTCTGTGCTTTGTGGGTACCAAGGATGAATTGTTGGATAGGATCATTGACCATACATCTAAGGGTATGTGCACCCTGTATTCACAGGATTGTCGATCAGCTTGTTCTCAAGTGATTAATGAGTATCATGCTGAAAGTTTACCAGAAGGAGACATTGGGTTTAACAGGCCTACAGATAGTTATGATGATTTTTCTGATTGGTGAGCCAACAGATGTCGAATTTACAAATCCACATTTTGAGTTTGTTGTGCCAAACTGCATTGCTCAGAAGCCTTTGTTGCACTTGTTGCACTGTCACAATGTTGAATATGATGGTGATAGTCTCTTGTGGCTGAGAAAGCATTTGAAATCGCACATTAGTGTCCTTATAAAGGGTAAGTGAACACAAGCAAGGCCTTCACCTCTGCTGTATCAGCATATAGGATTGTACAGTAACGGAAAAATGTGGAAACTTGGTACAATAGGGCAAGTCAGGTAGTGGGCTTTGCCACTTTAGATGGCACTACATACTTATACTGAGGTGTCAATGAGAGTAGTGATGTTCCAGCTTCGCTTGGCCTCATCAGTAAATCCACACATTCCTTAATAGCCTTTTCTGTCACTTGTCCCAAAAATTGCTGCTTATTCAAGCTTATTCACTTGTCACATTTTTTTCACAAGTGTCTACAAGTAAGTGTGTGATTCACAAGTGTGCACAAGCACTGAAAAGCAAATAAGTAGTAAAAAGGTGCCAAGTAAAAGCCCATTGTGTACAAGTGAATTAAGTAAAGGAATTTTTTGCCACTATGAATAAGTGCTCATCCACTGTTGCTACTAGTATTTGCATGCCTCATTGTCCTGTGAACCTTGTGATTTTTTTTTGAAATCCTTGTTTATTGTCTGTTGGGGCAATGCCCTATGTCAGACAGTATGTACAGGTATTGGTAATCATAGTGTGTGACTTTTACAATGTCCCAAGTGTGAATGAGGATGGTAACACCTGCTAAAGGCAGAAGTTTGTGGTGGTTGTGACTTCCCAATGTATCTGTACACCCCCCATTTCTCATACAACCCTCCCAACATGTTTCTTTCAAGGATAGTAAGTAGTGAATCCTGTGACCCCTCAACCTACACGTGACCTCTAGACCCTCCTATTCCCTCCTGACTAACAATGGCACTGATGTGCCTCAGTGTGGGGCCAAAATTGGTACTTAGATAGCTCTCAGGTCAACCACTCCTGGACGTGCAGGCCCCCCACTCTGCATGCCACCATCAGTTCCCAGTATTGGTTTTCCCACTGGACTATCCACACTTCCAAATGCAGAGATAGGTTTATTTGGTGATGTTTCATGGCTGTGCAGTGGTCACAGTCAGTAAGCGGTCGAAACCGGAGAAAATTAAAACTAATTTTTTCCTCCAGGGCAGGGGCAGGGCTCGAACTTGAGTCTTTATCTCACTTTCCCCTGGTTTACCCAGGTAAGCAGGCAATGGTACCGCTACACCATGCAGCCTCCTAACCTTGTGATCAGTCATTGCAGGCCTCCATTGTAGAGCAGCACAAGTTCC